TTTATACCGAAACCTGACAACTCGTTACACTGGTATTCCTTTCGCCGCCGCGCGCTACGAGTAACCTCGACGTGGCTTCGTTCCACTTCTCGTTAAATTCTGTATTCTTGTGTTCGGCATCCATCATTTGACTAGACCGTGCTGTACCGGTAACGCCTGTCGATTTAAAGGTATGGTTGTTGTGTAGTCCTTCATAAGCACTTTGACCGATTGCCTCACAAACGGATGAGCATGCCCACAGAATCCGGACATGGAGCGGGTTACAGACTTTAACATTCATTTTTAGTTACTGCAGTAACTTACAAGTAGTGAGATGAATTGTGTGGTTTCCTTGTGTGACGCTTTACAATGATAGTGACCTTGAACTTTGGCAACTCAGTTGGATGCTTGAAAGGGCTGTTTTTACTTGTGCGCATGAATTAGCGTTTATTTATCTCAACGGGGCGAGATGGCGCAAGTGGTTAGAGCGCGAATTTACTGACCGGAAGGTCCGTGGTTTGAACCCGACCTCTGCCGCATCTCGACTTCCCCTGTCTAGGTTTGGGCAACCTGGCAGTATCCCAGCCCTCGTGCTTCCTTTGGGTGGCATGGCAGTTAGGAACCGAAAAGGTGCTACAGCTGAATGAAAAAAAACCCGGAGCTTGGTCCTCTGATGACGGTAGGTTTGCCTGAAATTTCAGTTGTCTTCGATTTTTGGTCGGCGCAGCGAACCACCCTATAATGAGATGAATTGACTTTACTGACCACGGATACCAAGCTGGTTACTACCTGAATAACAAGTGATTCGTGTGGCAGCAAGTTGTGGAGTTACTCAAGTTTGAACCCAGAGGAAGAGCAAACTGATTTCATGGAACGAGAGAATAGCCATTTCGACAAATAGCCCAATGCCAGGTTGCGCAAGCCTAGACAGGGGAAGCTGAGTTGCAGCGGTCGGGTTCGAAACTTCCGGTCAGTAAATTCGCACTCTAACCACTGAGTCATCTTGCTCCCCGTGCGGCGTAAATCATACATATTTCCACACTATTTTTTCTGTGCATATAACCCAAATGCTTCATGTCTGGCAACTGTGCGGATCGAACAAACTGTGATCCCTTCTCCGATGCATATCTCTTCTTCACACATTTCAGCAGTTTGTATTCCGTTCTCGATTGAAGAGTCGATTTTCTGGTTGTGCTGAAAACCCTGGCTTTATCGCTTCACACTTTCATCCCAATAAATGGACGTGCCCTGTAGCTCGTTCAACTCCAAGCGTCCAACAGTTGGATTACTATAGCGGTGTTGTCAATCCACGAGTCACTGGGTCACTGCGACTTGTTTGTGCGGCGATCGAATGTACTTAGTTAGTCGGTATCGGTACGATATCGATCAGATGAAAAACCCCTGCTCTTGTGTCTTCCGACAGCGTGTTGACGGAATTCATGATCGCGTCAAACAGTGTTTTGTCGGTGTGAATTAATCACCTGTGAAATGCGTTTCTTCTTGTCTTCATTAAGTCTTCTGCGTATCAACTAGCAATTGCACAAAACTTGGGTGAGTTGCATCAAAAAGTTGGGTAGGGGAGAACGTACTTTTTAAGGTCTGATCAGCCCCTAAAGTGGTTATCGTGCGAAAGGTTCACCGTGGGGATTAATTTACTTTCAAGCTTAGTATGAATGAACCGTCTGTGTGGATTTTTCAACTGGTTGTTTTACCCCAAACATGAGTAGGATGCAAAAACACGCCCTTCTGGATTGCATTGATTCAGTGTTTTTTAAAACTAGAAATCGAGTATCCAAGAAAGCACTTAAACGTTGGCTTAGCGGTCTCTGTACGAATTACTCCTCTGACACTTCCAACCAGGTTGTGAAATGTGAGGATAACTGTACGCAGTCGAACTTTTCTGCTCCAAGACACCCAAGCCATCGATCAAGAGCCTCAAGCTGGAAAATCTCTGGACACTGAGCAGCTGAGGTTTTATTGATTGCGTCATTCGAAACTAAATTCAAAGGCGTCGGTTTTGAGGCACCAAGAAACTACTGCTCTGACACCAAAAATCCTTATCAAGCCGGCTGAAGCTAAATACAAAGGCGTCGGTTTTGAGGCACCAAGAAACTCCTGCTCCGACACCAAAAATTCTTATCAAGCCGGCTGAGCAAGAGAACCAAGAGAACCTGTCCCTGACATGAAAAAAGTATGCTCAGAACTGTGTTTCATTTTCTGAGGTTGAGGTCTGTTGAAGAATATCGACTTTAAGCTCTGAAGCATCATTTTCAAGACAGAAGATGCATCTCCCCTACTCATCTTCACCTACTCAGGAAACGTGCTAGCTATTTTTCGTCAGTTTTGTTGTTATCCTTTGTTGAAAAGGTTTCATCACATGGTGTAATTAGTTGAGGAGTGGACTTCTCGAGAATTTGAAAAACCATCCACTCTGAAAGCTATTCTGTTAGGCGGAGTTCCACACGGATCCCGCTTTACCGCTCGCAGTCAGATGCTGCTACGGCGGAAAAGCCTATCTCACGCCGGACTGGCCGAAAATTCGGGACGCTTACCTGTCCGGGATCGAGCCGAGATCCGACTGGTCGAAAGCCTGGACCTAACAGCCAACCATGACCCAGTATTGGCCGAATGCCGGTCTCCAATGCCGCATCCAGGGCGCGCCGGATTTTCCAGAAAGTTGTCGCCGCTTACGTTATATATATATATATATATACATATAAAGCGCTCTACAAGTGTTCCTGGCTTCGTTTTGGGCGTTACTGTATATTGCGCACCTTCGGTGATTGCTTTGACGTGAACGCTAGCTTGGGAGGCTCAGACCGAGAACTAAACAGAGGAAAATTCCGTTACTACACATTCAGTCCTTGAATATTAGCAATCCGTTCGTATATTCAAGTCCTAAGGAGGCCAGTTTTCTAAAAAAAGCCACGGTGGTTCTCCTTGGAGTTAAGATATACTGTGTGGAATTTCACTTATAGAAAGGCCGGATCCAGGGAGAAGTTTCAAGTTCTATTACATGGTTACTCTGCAACTCGAAATCCTCTAAACCCCCTTCTTCGTTTTGAAATTAATCATCTTCACTGTATTTTTGAAAAGGTAACACTCAGGTTGAGTCAGATTCGGGATATTCTTGTTCGGTGTTCCCAAGACAGGTGTGAATTTGTCCGGATAAAAACTTACGCTAGTTTTTTGCCTCCGGTAACCACGGGACGCCAGCATTTTACACCTTAAACGGCGCTGGAGTTGACTACTAATCCATATTCCTCCCTTTTGGAGATATCACCTGTCCTGGCTCACAGCAAATACCACTTAGTTTGTACTTGACAAGACAGAATGAACGCTTGTATTTCACGAGACGATCATCAGTTGGAACCCCTCGGAGGGATGTCCTAAGAGAGGGTTTTCCTGATGTGTCCTTTCTTCGGAGGCATTCCCGTATACATTTGATTGTATCATGGTTTCCACACCAGGTTTGGTTAAGTTATCCTCGCTCGTCACGCCGTGTGCCTCGACTAATCACGTGCAAAGTGATCGTAAGTTTTGATTAACGACCTCAGGCTGCCTGATTTGACCGTAGTTTTTCACGGTCGGTTTAAAGCAGAACGTAAAATTGATTCGGGAGTGAAGAGCATTTATATGACTCAGGTACAGACTAGTATAGATTTTCTCATTAGGACAGACCAAATACCGGTAAATTTTATGAAGTCTGTTCATCTTATTTCGGTAGCAATCTGCTTTCAAGGAGTATGTTGATCAGCGGGGGGAGATGTTGTTTGATTCAAGCTGCGTCTGAGAAGACCACTCGCGTTTCCGTAAGTCTCGAATTAGCGATAAGAATAAAAGTTTGGAAAGATAATTCTGTGAATATCCGATGGAATGGAGCCCCTTCAGGTGACAGTCTCTCGTAAGAGGGGATAAACATCAGGTGATACCTTGTGAGAGACGTCATTGTGAAATATCCAAAGGAGGCAAGCTACGAAAAAGGGGGATGATTTCTATATCTCTACTACTTGTAAACTACTAACCTGCTGTGCGTGTGTTTGTCGAAGATAAAAGTCCGAAAGTTAAAGGACTATTCCTCGTCGATCACATTTTGACAGCTATTCACATATTCTTTGCGGCCCCCCAAATCATTTCCCCAACTTTTTCCGTGCTGATAGGCATATGTGGAGCCAACTGAGACGGTCAGATAGCCACCAGTCACGTGACTGCTACTGATTAAATTTGGCTATCAAGATTATTGATCTGCTGAATGACGATAGACACTTTTGTAACATGAGCACATTGTCGTATTTTGGGCACCGCTTCAAAATGCTGTGACTTTAGTGGCCGAAATCGAATGACTAGACTTGGGAGCCACTCTCATCAGCAACCGCCTACGCTACTCACAAGTAGGTAAACTGCTTATGAGTTGTCCATTAAACTGTCCGCGCACGTTGAAATTCAAGTATGCTGGGTGAAATCCATTGAGATTTAAACCGTTAGCCAATAGTTGTCACTGGAAAATCATCGGGTCATTCTCATCATCATCATCATCATCATCATCATCATCATCATCCGAAACATCACCATCATCATCATCGTCATCATCATCATCATCAACGTCATCATCGACAGCATGACATCAGTGTTCAACACCGATGCTTCACTGCCATTCACATCAGTATTATTTGTATCCTTGCAGTATTAAGGTATCCAAGCTTGTTTATGACGTTATCGTCACCTTGATCTTGCCTTTGAAGGCCCCCTCTTCTGGTCGGATATTTATGCAGTAGCAGAAGCAACTTTTTTCCGATGGCCCAACTACTAACTGACCTACCGAGGATTGTACAAAGAGAAGACATCACGAACTGGGTTTGTTCCTGTAGTAACCGAAGCGGCACGAAGAATACGGTTGATAACGTAGTAAGAAGTGAGGAACAGGAAAACCAAGTCCGATTTTCTACCACCCTTTCTTTGTTTTAACTAACTGGCCTACTTTACCAAATTCGAATGTGAATGCAACCGATCTTCTCCTACAGGTACCGTGTCCTGCGACGTTGGGACAACTTTCCTTCACAACACATACTGCTGCACGACGTCCAGCGGAACACTTGATTGTTGCAAAACCTTCAGGTACGTTTCCACCCATCTCGGCTGATACGCACGGGTGCCCGGCTTAGGTTTGTTTATGAATAGGAAATTTTATTGATTGGAATTTATTGTCGCTTGCTCAGCGAAAAACCAAGCTCTCATTTCATTCAGTATGATACACCTATTCGGTATCGTCGAGAATCGAATCACTGAAATTTCGCTCACAAAGTCCTGGAATTTGTTCAACGACACGGTGGTCTTTAAACCTCAGAAGCCTGTTGCCAGGTGAATGCCACCTGGGGTATTAGTGCTGAAGAGGTTCAGTGGTTAGAGCGCGCGAATTTACTGACCCAAAGGTCGGAACCCGTTCTCTGCCTCTGGACTTCCTTTGTCTAGGCTTGGGCAGTATCTCAGCTCAAATTGTCCATTCTGGTGGCACCGAAAGGGGGCCACGTTTGAACGGTTTCATCAGTGCATCTCCATCTTGCGAGAGAAGAGACTACAGATCAACGACCGTCCCTGTGCATCCCAAGTGAGTCCGCGTGATAAAGATATGCTAGTATCGCTGAACTGACTACACACTGCGTCAGTGTGGAAAAGATTGTTAGCGAAACCAGTTTTTCTTTGGGAAAAGAACGGCAAGACCGCGTGGGGGTAAAATCCAACACTGTATGCAAACGATGAGTTGGTCATGTGCTATCTACACTATGGGATGCGAACTACACTCATATTCGCTCATGTATGGCAACTAGCCGTCGAATCACGGTGTGAGACCGAAAGGATCTCGGATAGTGACAAACCTTTGTCGATGGTCACCTTTTTCAAGATTTTGCTTACAAATTGTTGACATGGAGAAGCAGATTTGACCATTTAATCACATCACTGGTTGTATACGCCTCCTGCAAACAGATTTGAACTGGAAAATATAAGGTTACTCACATAAGAACTGTTACCTGGAAGTCAGATGAGACTGCCTGGGAGTACTGTCGAAGCAAACGCTGGATTTGATCATATTTTTCGATTACAGTTATTGTAATGTCCAGTTTCCCTTAAAGTCCAGTAATTTAAGGACGCTTTCCGAAGAGCTTCAGGGATTAGGGATGTATTGGTTACTTGCTCGGTAGTGTATCTCATCGTCTGTTGCAATTGTTCTGAGCTGTGCCCACCCCAAATCCGACGATGTACCACAAAAATGCGCTAAACTTTCTGGGGAAAAAACGGAGTTAAATCGTCTGTATCAAACCTGTCAACGTTGAGACGTGTTCACATTTCAGACTGAAATTTTGAGTAATGTGTACAGCAAGGGAGACGAGTCCCTTGAGCTTTCTACAGAGGTATCACTTCAAAAGCCAGCGTACATCACAAGACGGAATTGTTTTATGATCCAAATTTCTTCTCCACACGGTGGAGTGAAATGAGAACTGTGAGACGGACGCATCCCAGTGACGATCCAAGACAGGATAAATTATTATATACGGATCTCATCTTCAGAATTATCCAGAGCAGACGCTTTTTTCACTGAGAAATGAGTCCTGTTTTTTAAATAGTAACTGAGTGTCTGTGATAAGAAATGGTGCTTTGGAAAGCGAAAAAGTACGCGGTTTTGAACAGTGATGAGGTATTTCTAATAAGCTCAGCTGATGTGAATAATAATAATTCATGTCTTGGCCGGGGTACGTCCAGAAAAATGCTTTTTCAGTGAGCTGGGTGATTTGATTGCAAACGTTTCATCACTAATCGAGGTAACATCATCAGTGCGTTATTGGGGACCGTAGTGGTGCGTAGCGGTGGGTTATTGGCTGTGCGTTAAGTAGTGTTACACATGTGTTAATATAAGTGCTGCTATCAGGGATGCCGTCTCCCTGTCATGAACGAGAATTGAAAGCGTCAGGAAGTTCATTTAAGATTTTACGCCCGAACGGAGAAAATTTTTGCACAAAATGAGCCTAAATTCNTAGTGGTTGTGCGCCGCTACGCACCACTACGGTCCCCAATAACGCACTGATGATGTCACCTCGATTAGTGATGAAACGTTTGCAATCAAATTACTCAGCTCAGAGAACAAGCCACCGACCATCTACGCTAAGTGAGCTACCAACATTTGCCTCTGTAGAAAATGTTTTTCTCAGTTTTGGACACTTTTTTCGTGATGACATACTGCTTTAATAAGACCGTGAGTAATCGTCAGCAATAACGTTTACGGGTGTTGGTGTTTTGTGGATCAAAATCGATCATACATTGAGAATCTGTGGAGTTGCGCCTCTCCCTTGTCGGACGTGACGTTTTATGACTATTCGCGGCCTCCACATCCGTGACCTTGAAGCAGAATTGAATAACAATCCTTTGTGACTATTGCCGAGATCTATAGCCTTCGGGCGAAATGCTCCAACCAAAGCGAAACATTTTTCGAGGGTTTCCTTCACTCGTTTTTGTCGTCTTGACCACGGATCAATTCTAAGGAGAAATCTTCACTTTGTGTCAGTTTTCTTATCGTTTGATTAACCATTTTTTCGTTTCAACGCGCTATTGCTATGTCTCAAAGAAGCAGTTCGTCTACTGTAGCTTTCTTTCTGTAAGTGACGTTTAGCTGCGCTAAAATGCCGAAAGGCACTCTACATCGCTTTCATTCTTATTGAGAGTCACCAGCAGTGCACACCTCACGAAACGCCAACAGAATTGGCGAATTCACGACCTCCCGGTTGGTAGCTTGAACACAATCGGTCAGCCGCGAGCGGCTGGTATTCAGTGTGATCAGCTCGCACTTAAACAGAGTAGAGCGCCATGCATCCGTGAATCACGGGATCCACATCACGTGGTCATACGTGGTCGAACGGTTAAGTGTTCACGCCACTAGTCGGGGTCGCGGATTCGAAACTCCCTGGAATTTCTCAAAATGCGCACTAGTGATGATTACCAGAAAGAACAAAACAGTCGTACATTGCTTCCCGATTGACTGCGTGCACAGGGCCAAAGTTGGAGTCAACTTCCAAAGTGTCCTCACAATACCAACATCATTGGTTCACCATGTCCTTAGAAATTCACCAGAATGCCTTGGACTTTAAAATACATTAGATAACTGAACCGAGCGAACCGTGATCACTCAGTGGCGCTGTGTGTGGCATTCATGGCCACGTCGCGTTTCATGTTCTGAGAACACGGACAAATTTGGTACAGTTGTCAGCTACATTTGGAAAATCAGGCGTGCTGACATCTCCAATTTTCCCGCTGCCAGTAGCGTATTTGTAACATTTGTGGATTACACAAACGATTTGTTAATTTTATTCCCTGAATTTCCGCCGGATATCTACGTTTCTGCGTGCTGAAACGTGTCGTGCCAGATTGACTAACTAACTGCTGAAGTTGAACATTCTATCGATCTGAGCAGTACCGAGGTATGGTTCGCACGCACCAGCCACTATCACTGGTCCCCAACGGGTAATGACAAGTTCACCTAAACTTGCCTCACTCCCATGTATTTTTGTCCAGATGGGAACCAATCACATTCACCGTCCTTGGCTGTGTGGCTGCAGTAATCATCGTCTTTGTCATCTGCTGTTGCTGTTGTGGATGCTGCGGGTGTCTGCGTGATCTATGTTGCTGTTGTTGCAAGAAAAACTGACCAAAAACTGACCTACGTGGACCCACTTCACAACTAGCCTGCTCACAGATCAACTCTCAACACGATGATGACGGGTTTTGTGTTTCTTTGGTTTGTAACCAAGTCAAATTTAGTGATCATTCCTGTGGAAAATGCATAATTTTTACCTGATTAACGACTTCCACGTTTTTGGTCGTATCTACTCATATATTTTGTGAAAAAATTTTCTCCTCTTCTCAATTCGAGTGTGAAACGATATTCATTCCCAAATCTTGCGTCCTTGGTTTTGAAACAACCGGTTTATAATTGTTCTGTCTTGCTGAACGGTAGTGCAACTCTGTATCGGTCACTTGGCTTCCTGCTCCACACACTATGACGTATCAAAAGGCACGGTAGCCCTACACAGCCTCTTATGGAAACCAAGGAAAATTATTAGAACTGTATTTATAGGGTAGTCACAGAGTGTTCCACAAGGTCGTACCAGAATCTCCGTGAGGGGGCGAGAAGCGTCGAGTCAAAGGTGCTTGACTCGGATTGGCTGGCATTAGGTCCAATCAGAGCATACCTTCGTTCGGCCCGTGTCCTGCACGTGACACATCCGTCCAAATGATGTGGCGTTCGGTTATTAGGGACGGTTGGCCTCCGTACAATAGTTCATCAGGAAGGTAGGCAGCAGTCAATTATTTAGAAGCCCTGATGTGAGGTTCAAACCCAGTCAGCCTATGATTTCATGCACTCGGCCTCCCTGGCGGTGTTATCGTTTTGAGAAGCCGTTCACGGGTTTCTTAATATCTAGTCTACGGAACAATTTCATCACCTCATCCACCAACCAGTTCGCTCCAGAGTGGTTTTCTTCTGCTTCCTGCAGTTGCGTTATGTGTGACGGTTCTTTAAGGAACCTCACTCGGATCGCTTGAGGGAAAAGATTGTCTAACAGTTGACCAAAAATCGTTCACAGCTTGCGAATAAACAACAAGCCGCTTTTTTGAAAAATCCAACTCCACAAAACCGGCTGATGTCGATCTTGTAGAGAAACAATGACCGGAGGCGTTCATTGTCGTCACAAATAAGCCTGTGGACTGCCTATGCAAAGCATCTGCTGTCGGGCAGCGGAAGTTAAGCTCAGGGCTAATCGATCGATCCGTTGGAGGTCTACCGAAAGCTGTCACGTTCTCTGGAAAATCGGTACTAGCTACCGAATCGCCCACTTTCCATGAGAGACAATACATCACCGAATATAAGTTAAACGTCAAGTTTTTTCATGAAACATACTACTAACATTGCTGAAGGTCCTTAACTGCCCACCGGACCGGTCTCACTCAATTTTCTTGGGGCTCAACAGGCACTCATTTTTTTCTGTCAACCTGATGTTCCATGTGAACAACAGATTGTACGCAGCTGGCGGAATACACACGGCTGCGCGTCAATAAAATATGCAGCAAGATGTATATGGTATTGAGAAACTGAAAGTAAACCGGACGAATAATATTCCCCGACAGTCGATCTTTGCAGCTGACTGAACCGTTTACGAATAATTTGCAAGTACTTTACACAAGCCGATCTCACAGGAGTCATCGTTCCGTTTCTTATGGACCGGTCGAGAGTAGAGCAAACCTTCCTGCTTGTCAACTCATCAAAGCGCACTACCATTTTTGTGATCTGACGTTAAAGGAAGCCAAACTCCCTGTAACGTGTATGCCTTTCTGACATTCTGTTGGGAAGATAGGTCTCAGACTACATGATGAGGTTGAGGATCCCCATCCGAGTGCATGGTAATCCCCTGAATTGAGTCGCCTCCCCTGGTGCTTCGTAATGGGTCATCTAACCGTGAGGTGATTTTCCTGGTGTTTATGACAGTTGAGGGCGACTGCTTAACACTGGTGCTACATTACTTTATTAGCCAATTTAAGTAGTGCAAAGTATTCTGCGCTAACACACCACGACTCATTAGGTATGGACCAGCCACAGTAACGGCACTGGTGCCAGCATACTCTATTTGAGATACCGTGCTGGAATATTAGTAGTATGTTCCGTGAAAAACTAGCTCCGCGACATTTGAAAAGACGCTTGTTCAGATATTTACCTGTCTCGCTTGTGCGATAACACTGTATGATCCCCAGATGAGTCTGGGCCATTGGTAATGAAACGGTGAAGTAGAGATGTTAGAACAGATTCGAAACGCTCACAGATCTGCAACAAAGATGTGAAAGCCCCAGTGGACCTGGCGGATAAAAATATTGAAGGACATCTTACTATTCCTCGAATATTATTTGGTTTAGTGAAGGGCAAAACATTCTCCGATGAAAGTGCCCGGCGGATCAGTCACCAGAATACGAGTTGTCATGAATTTCTATCAGTAGCTTGAACGATAACCGCTTATAGACTGGCGAAATGAAAAGACCGAGAAAGAAATATCATTTCTGCACTCGCGTTCCCATGAATCAGATATAAAAACAGCCATCTTTTCCATCAATCTGCGACTTTAGACCGTACCAAAGTGATCTGAATGAATGGCCGGCTTACTGGTTATTAAATAAGCGACAAGAAACCGGAGGTTTCTGATCTAGTGACATTTGGTACTGCCATGTGGGTCTTGCTGAGAACTTACAAAACAAGAAGTGTTCAGAAAACGACCAAAATTTCCACAAACTCACACATACTAGCCAGTGTTTGAATCAGCGACCGACTGTTTATCGCTGGAGCTTGACAAAGAATGGACATTCACTCAGCCAAGTCCGAGTTACAGAGGCGGACTCAGCTCAAGCACGCAACCAGCCGGTCTGAAATCACATAGATATTGGTGAAGGCTTTTGGCCAACTGAAGGCAAGTTTATACACCCTGCCAGGTGGTATGCTGGCGCCTGACGTGAAGTAATCGGGCGATGAAATTACTTTCCACTCCTCTGGGTAAACCGGCAAAGTCTGACTCCTACTGTATATGAAAAAAGCTAACTAGCCTTCAGCTATCATTTTTATCCGTTAAACTGAGCAGGCGTCTGTTGATCGAGCGATTTCATCGGAATCATAGAGTTTGTAACAAAAAAGAAGGGTCTAAAGTTTCACCTACGACCCCGCCTTCAGAAAGAGTCAGTCAGTGGTTATTAGAAATCTTCAGAAGTGCAGGTATTGAGAGCTGCAAGTGATTTAGTTAAGACCGAAGAATTCCACCGGTTATCTAAGCTTTCCATCTAACGGGTTGTTAATCGAGAGATCAAACAATGCTAGACCACGTGACGTGAACTGTATGGTTGTGCATCCTGTCCTGGCTCAAGTTTATTGCCCAGCTGATCAGCCGCACGTGACACGGTGGTGCCGACTTCGCATCTTAGTAGTAATTCGCTATTGAGCGTTGCAACTGATGATGAAATGTCAGCTGAAAATTCAAAATGCTCCATAGCCTAAAAACTAATTTTCAAGTTTTTTCTAGTATAAACAGAGTTTGAAATTAACAACAAAGATTTCGTCGCTTAATTGGAGTCAATTTTTTACGCGAAGCACTATGAAGCTGTTTCACCGGTATCACGGACCACCAGCAGTGCGCAGCTCACGAAACTTCAGTAGGGAGACTCGAACCCACCACCTCCTGGCGGGCAGTTTGAACACTTAATCGTTCGGTCACGAGCGGCTGATCATCAGTGTGACTAGCTCTCACTGAGACGGAATATAGCGCCATTCATCCTTCAATCACGGGATCCAAATCACGCGGTCTGATTTTGACTTACTCCTCGAGTGACGGCTCCCCACATGAAGGCTTCATTCATCTGAGAAAATCACACTTCCTCTGAGCTACTTACGGATGTATAAGTAGCTCGGCTTTTTTGCATAAGTTAGCTCAACTCACGGGGATATCCTTGAGGTGTTTAGAAAAAGCTGACCTCCCCAGCGGAGCTGAGTATCACCGGGCCGCAGAGATGTATTTACATGCGACAGGTGTACCATCTCGGACGATCATCCACAGGTTCCCTCTTAATTTTTTTCACATAATAAACCAATCTAAACCGCAAAGAACGCTTCAGATGTGTCATTAAAAAACTTTCCTAAGGTTCTTTCTGCGAATCGAGTTTTGACTGCATAAATCAATTCATGGATAGTGTAGAACGCTGGTTTTCATTCATCAGCTTCACAACTACAAAGGGAAGAAGCAGTCGCGGGATTGCGTCATTTCGCACGCTCTACGCAGTCAAAATGTACACAACGTAGTAAAATAAGAACGACAAAGGATCCGCAAAACGTACCGATGATGTGTTCTTCGGTACTTTAGTCAATAAATCCAGGTTCACCCCAATATTTTCTCATGATTTTTATGCTCACACAATCAGATCCACCTCACAACGACTTCGGACGGTGATTGTAGCCCAGTTTGACATGTCGCATAATCAAAGAGGTGGGTATGGAACCGATTTTATTGTCGTCTAACAAACCGGGTCTCATGTCAGCTCTGCCAATAGGTCATTCAAACGTAAGTGAAATGACGCATTCAATGGCATGTTGACCATTTGATTGTATTGCTTGAATATGCGGCAATCGATGACGTTTCCGACTAAGTATGTGTGAAAAATCCTGATTTAGGCTTGGGACGACTCCGAGTGGAAATCGCGTTTTGAGATAAGTTACTTGCTTGGTGAAGCAGTAGTTTGTATTAAAAACGATTTGTGACCCTGTTTGTCAGAGCCTGGATATCCCTTCAAACTTCTTGAAATGATACGGGCGGACCAAAACGGGGTTGTAATTCGCCGAAAGTTTCCTCCAAAGCCAGATCTCCCTCCTTCCGAACAACAGTCACCCCAAGCAGACCCTATATAGCTCGCTGTATAAGGGGAAGGGTTTTGTTGGGCGTACTCCTTGGCGCACCTGTCCTTCCTAAAAGGCGATGAAGGAGAGCAAATGGAAATGCTTCTTAAGGGCTGTGTATGATAAATTCAGGTCCAACAGGATAGTATTTTAATAGCTTATAGTATATGGTGTATTGTATATTGCATTAGTTATATTTTGTTACATAATAAGTTATATCATAATTTCAGTCGACTCTTCTGAGTGATGAGTCTCACCAAAACCTTGATTTGATCATAAATTCTTAAGTCGTGGCTGTCAAATGATTTCAAGAAGTCTTGAACACGGCAGAACAAACGACAAACTTGCCCTTCCTTTATTCAGCTGCCACGTTTTTGTGAGTTCGAAATATAGACTTATTTTGATTCCAGAAGTTATCTTTGGTGTTTACCAATCGGTCTTCAGCAACCAGCATTTGAGTGTTTCGCCTTTTAGATGTATGTAAGTCTAGATAATAGACGAACGACCCCATTACTTGGAGAATTCTATCTTAAACTGAAGAATGTCAGTTTGTCAGTCTCAAAGAAGACATCGGATTTGGTATGTTAGTTCCAATATGTTGCACTTCATAAGTCTCGGTTTCGTGTGCCGGTTGTTGAATCATGCCTAATAAAACCCGCCGCTCAAACGCGTCGATAACAATCTGAATAGCTTCAACTTCGGAGGCAGATTCTTTATATTAGGAAGCCCCTAGTCTACAGCAAGTCCAACGTAGTGCAACGGTGGATACTACTGCTGAAGCATGCGAGTAGTATGTGGCTTCCACATGACTCCGCTCCTCGTCTATTGAAAAGTGAGGTTTATCGCGGAATTTGTGGAACCGCTTTGTAGCATTCGTTTATGTTTGAGTGATGGTCAATGAGTATCCAGGAAAGTTCAGGGAGACGCGTTCAAGAAGGAGACGGATACACAGTTTTTTTTATAAACAAGATGCAAATGACAGTTTTGTTTCCCTGTCCAACAATCTGGTGTTTTCCAGTAAATAACTTCGCAGCGAAGGCTTTCTTCCTTCCAGTGGCAGGCGTAGTTCCATTGTGAATGACTGAGCCCGAAGATTATCCGAAAAGCCTGTATGTGGGTTCCTTTTTGTAGACCTCGGCAGCGCCTTTCGTCTACACGGCGTGAACTTGAGGGAAACACAGAAAGTCCCTCTGCATTCCTGTTACGCAGCCATCTTACCTGTCGAAAACACACTGACAGATAGATGTCCCCGATCTTTGTAGATGGGTATATCGTCCTTCAAACAGATTTTCTGCTGGAGTTCTTTTTACTTTCAAAGTAGAACCTTTTAAAAATGGGGGTAAAAATACTCTAAAGAATATTTGGACTCCTCAGCTACTATAAACTATTTTTTCCTTGAATGCATCAACTTGGTCTTGGTGTCGTGAGCCCCCATGACTCATCACATGCCTTGGAAAAGTTGATGAAACGCCTCACAAAATTCGTCACAATGTGTTGCATTATATAACAGTGCGTTTACCCAAACACTACTCATTGCGTTATCAACAGTTTCACAGTTTTCAACAATTCACAAGTTATCTTACACTGTCCAAGCGACATTTTTTGCGGATTGCTGGAAATGGACTTGGTTTATAGCAAAAAATTCAGCCAAGTTTAACCACCCCGCTTTTTCTCTCAGGTAGGTGTACTAATTGAACTTGAAGAAATTTGTGATACTGTTTCTCGCCAATTACATTCAGAAATGATCAGTTGTCATTTGACACTCCCTTTGCGCAGCATCAATGAAGGAACGTGTGTATCAAGCTACAGTACGGGCTGTTTTGTTGTATGGCTGTGAGACTCGGCCTATTCGAGCAGCGGATCTGAGTGTTCATGTTGACGGGAGACATGCAGTTGAAGAGTACTGTAGCTGAAAGATTCAGGTGAATTTCGGCTGATCCTTCTTCAACACCAGTTTGGTTTGCAAACAGGTTTGTCTTGTTTTTTTGCAACGTATCGCAAATTGATGTTCACCTAAGAGACAGACTTGATAGAAATTAGGGGACTGAACCCGACAGATGGGTTTCAAGAAGAATGAAACCGGTAGTAGGCCGCGCAAATATTCATTCATTTCATGTTTGGCGTTTAAGCATACGTCACTACGTTGGATATCTTTCCAAATGCGACTGGTTGGTCCACTCAAATGAATATTGAAAATGAGTGAGATTCAGGTGAATGTTGCCAAGTCTCCCACCAACACCAAGTTAATTTGAAAATAT